TGTGCATGCACTTTGCCGGATCTGTAGTTGGAAGATGAATTACTGTGCAGGCATTTGTTTGACAGGTCAAGGCAGTTGCAGTTTGTACATGTGTTGAAGAAGCCATACGGAAGAGATCAATTTGACCTTGTCTTAATTATTTAGCCGTGGTTCTTTGTTAATAAGAGATGCAGTTTAGCTGGAACCCCTTTCAGCGTCCTGGACTGCAAACTTGAAATATCAGGACTAGATGAATGTAGAGCCAAAAGTCGGTCATTAAGTCACATAAACAATAAGAGGTGAGGATGTGATGATGAGGAGAAACAACAAGTCTCTTTGCGGGTGTTGCGTCATGTTAAACGCTTTCTCTCACCTTAGTCACACTTAATCTCTGACATGGCATGTTAGTTTAAGTATTTGCAGATCATGTCATATGGTTTTCAGATTAGACGCAGGAGTCACAGACACAAGTCTGGACTTTTTCTAGACGCTCAGTAATACTTTCCCAAAGATGGGAGCAGGATGACTGTCTTCATGCATAGCAGTGGACACGTCAGTAACATTTAGGTCATTAGCAATTCCTTAATGTTGTTCTTAGTGACTGTCATTTGTCCTTTAGAGGGAACAAATTTGTTGCTGTCCCTGTGTTTTACTTCGTATTAGACCACTGCGTTACCATACATTACATCATATAATGTAACCAAAAGCTGAGGTGTACCTTCAATTACAGTTTAGATTCTCTATCTGCTAAACCTCAATTATTTTGATGTGTTTTCCTGATGCCTTTTATTGCATCCCTCAAATACAATCTAATACCTGTTCTGTGCTGAAGCCAAAACTTTTTCAACACTTCGACTCTCCCACTGATTCCCTGATGAAGTGTAATATATTGGAATTCCATCATAATTCCATATTTGTGTTATACTGCGTATGGAAATGATTTGTAATCCTTATTTATTTAAACAAATTAGGTCCAAGCTCCGTCTCATTTGTGCATCAGTGGAAACGACCGATGCCAAGTGGAAATATTTAATCTCAGAGGCCAAGTATAACGAGGTCTGGGAGTCTGCACTTCCTCCAGCCCTTGACCCCGAGTCGTCAACAGCATCTAATGAGACATTTAATCATTTTGAAAATTATTGTTTCCTCCAGGAGACGCACCCTGCTCGGCTTTTTTTATGATCAGATGAGCTCAGTTTTTACAGGCCAACTGTTGCATCAGTTGCACATGGAGGTCACTTTCAGTAATGTCTGTTGTTGTGGGGAGGGAGTTCGGGGGGATTGTTCAGTAATGATGTGAATTTTACTCTGACTATACAGAGCGTTATGATTTTCATTGGAGTAAGCATGCACCAAATTACTCATCTGTAATGCAAACCACAGCAAACTTAATTAATCAGACCACTCCAGTTATTGAAAACAACTTAGTTGGTAACTGGTAAAATATGTGCATAGACTTTGAGGGATTGGACCCCAGAACTACACTCTTACACTGCACTTCCAATGTCTGCTCAACTGCAAAGGTTTTCATATGGCAATACTGTCAGTATGACATGTTTAAAGATGGAAATGCTAAACATGTGGAACACGATTTTAACATAAAGGCAAAGCTTGTTCAGTCTCATTGAAGGTTTCTCCTCAGTTAAGAGGTAAAAATGTTGCGCAACTGAAATTTGGGTAAAAGTCTGAATTTTGTTTGTCTGTCCATTTAAATTTTAGTAATAAATTCAGAGGAAGGGTACATGTAAAGAGTTATTATGACATGTTAATGGAGTCTGTGATTACATCCAAATTGCCTCTGTCTGAAAGAAGTCAAAGCCATTATTACTATTTTGATGTAGATGCCAAAAGGTCTTACATCCAAAATGTCACACATCCAAAATGTCACAGTAACCCCGAAGTTATGAGTTAAGATAGAAAAAAATGAAATGTCACAGTAACCCCGAAGTTATGATGAGTTAAGATAGAAAAAAATTATCCCCCTAATCCAAGAAGGATACATTTGGACATTGCTTTCTAGCACATGTTAGCAGAAGTTAGCAAATCAGGCAGTTGAACTTCTCCTAGTTATAAACATTGACCTGCCATTTTTGATACAGTGTCCTAAACTCTGCAGCACCAGTTATAATATTTTCTTTCCTATATGGAGGATTTTCTTAGTCAATTCTACATAGTTTTCCTATAATCCAAGATGTGCAGATTAGCAGTAGATGCAGTTGAAAATGTATTTCTGCATATTGGAGTCCTTGTCATCAGGTGGTGGCTACAATCGTTAGCATTCTACAAAAGCATGAACTATATTGTTCATGCTTTTGTAGAATGCTAACGATAAGCAAATAAGCAAAAATAAAATCAGTAAAAGAAAACATTCCCCCCATTCTGTGAAATCCAAACATCCACTGACACAGGAAACACCACCTGCTTTATAGCCTCCAAAATAGTCTGGGTGCCTTTAGCTGTGAGTAACCAGGTGCACTTAATAGTTCCTGATGAGCAGAGGATCTAGTCTGATCGGTACAGCCATACAAACTCACAAATGTTAAATTTAAGTGTAAGATTTAAAACTAGATTTATGGAGATAAGCGGGAAACGTCTGTGTTTTCCTGTCTGACCTCCTTCACGTCTCATGTGAACACTAGGATTATTGGCTTTATTTGGATTAATTTATCGCTGCATCGTTTGAGGCTCAGTCTTTGGCTTTCAGACAAATCCCTTCGATCACTTAGGGTCTTGTAATCAACAGCGCTCAGAAACCACTTGATGCATGAATCATTCATACCCTGCCATTAATAATAAAGACATGGCAGCCGCTGTGCATCTAGTGCAACCTGAACTAGTACGTCTTGAAACATTATCTTTTGGCTTCTAAACTAATGTGTTTCACCTGTTGCAGCCCCAGGTCTGCTGCAGACAGGTAGTGGAGGAAAGCCTCCTCCCTCTGTGTACCTTCCTCATATGGTGACCTTGCTTCCTTTCCTCCCCCTGAACTTTTTCTGTCCAAAGTTCTTTGATAAGTCCTCGTCCTGTGGGAGCAGCGGTAATGCACACTGGAAGCAGGAGGCGTAATTATGCCTCAAACTGCACTTTCTTCACCCTAATTAGTTCACTCCTTAGAAGTGGGCCTTGCATTATTTACACATCAAGCGGAGACGCAGGGAGAAGATAAATATTCATCATTTGTTGACTTTGCTACGGTCCCAAAGCTCAAGTGGAAGTTGAGACGAGAGACGCTGTCATTCTGGCTGGTTTAATGCGACTCCTCCTTTCACTGGTGGGCGAACGGTATTTTGTTGGTGACTCAAAATTGGGTAAATAACAGAACATGAGCTGTAACTTTTATTTCTACCAGCAAGGAAAACAAATTATTCATTTTGATATCATTTTAGGCCATTTTTTCTAGGCCAATTAAACTTTTTTATTTTATTTTATTTATTTATTTATTTTTTACCAAGAAATGAGTAAACAGCAGCTGTTACGAGGCCTTTCCTGCTTACGTTTGCAGCCAAGCAGATTTGTGAGACATGTCAGGTCTGAGTTTCCTGTCAGTAGCTGGATATGAATAGACGGTTGTATCTGACCCCTCCGCCCTGGTGGTCAGGGGCCTTGGGGCCTATTGTCTGCCCTGGAGCTGCCTGCTGGGAAACTGTTGTTAGTTTTAAAAGCTGTGTCCACTTGACATCTTTTCACTTATATCGTTTCTCTGTTTAATCTGATGATACTATGGTTGTATTTGGTCATGTTTACAGAAGATGGTCACGGGACAGGCAGGAGCACAAACTTGTTATTACTGCTGTTACTACATGAGTTAGTCAATATTCGAGTCAATAAATGTTTCACTTTTACTGATACAATATGTCCAATAATTTGCAAAATACCCACATTTTCTTTTTGCCATTTTTTCATTTCTACCCCCTGAATTTTGGTTTTGTCGGCTTGAAATATAACAAATCCTTCTTTTAACCCTTTAGGGTCAAGTGAAAAAAAATGACACTGTTCTACACATTGCACTGCATCATACCTACATAAAATAATCTCTGCAGTCAAGAAACTTAAATTATATTTGTTTATGTTCTCTTGTGCATTGTTTTTGACCAACTTAATTTGGTTCTCTGGTGTCTGATGTGATGAAATAGTTGAACAACTAATTTTTTGGACTTGTTGGATTCCCTTAAAACCTCATCACTTGCACAAACAACCAGTCCTTGTGATCTCCATCCCTATGATCAACACACCCATGTTATTAAAATATACTGAAATTATTGTTATGAGGGATATACTTTATCCACAGGGGGAGTTTATTTTTCGAAGTAATATGTGTTTGTTTTGGGAATCATGACAAGAAAGTGAAACATCTCTAAGCCACTGTTTCAGTCACTGTAGGCCTCCCATCATGTGGATAAAGGGCCTCCCATCAGTTTGTAAACTCTACAGTTTTATATAAGCTCTGCTGACAGTGGGCTACACAGTAGACATGTTTATGCAGTGACACGGCTTCAGTTATAGGACCATTTGTTACAGTACAGCTCCGCCGTCTTTCTGCTGTCATGCTGAATCTCTACTAACATTTCTAAAAAATAATTTTAATTTTGATTTTTATAAATTAAATAGTCCTGTGTGGAGCTAATTCATTGGTCAGCAGTGAGTTGCAAACTTGTACTTAATGGCGCCTCCAGTGGCAGCTTGTGGGGTAGCAAACACTTTTAGTACTTGAAAATTAGGCATATGTAAAAGTAAAAATAAAAACTCTGTTTTTTGTCAGTTTGAATGCAGTTCAGAGTGTAAATCTGTGTTTTCTTGAAGAGCACACTTCATTTTCATCCACTGATTGATAAATGCAAACCGACATTTAATACGTTCCCCTTAAAGCCGTTCTGGATGCAGAAAATGGGAACTTTCCACTTACTGTCCATCATGTAAAATTCAAGAGGATTGACATGTTTTTTCAGTAATCTTAACAGCTGTAGCAGGCTGCATTTGGCAGGAATCTGACGGAAACTGTGGTGTTTATTCTTCCTCTGCAGGTGGAGATCACGCTGCAGGACGTCAACGACAACCCGCCTGTTTTCCCTAATGATATTCTGGATGTAACCATTGAAGAGAACGTCGGAGATGGCTTCAAGATAATGCAGCTAACAGCCACGGATGCAGACGAGGTAATGGCTCCCCAAGTTTCTATTCGGCCTGACAGTGTTTTTGCACTTTCCTGCGCCCGTTTTCCACTCCACTGCTTTTAGAATAGACACCCAGGGAGTCATTTGAAGTCAAAATATGCTCAACATTTTTGTTCCTACAGAGCAGGAACCGCTATAGATTCAAATGGGTTTGTGAGGTTAATGCAGCTGTCAGTACTGAAACTGAGGAAGGTCAACATTTGGTGTCTCCATGTTGGATCATGCTTGTGCCAAAAAATGAATGGCAGACATTCAGAGCAGGAAACATGTCCTGTCATGACAGGGAATTATAAACTTGTCATGAATGTTAGGGTAGAAAAACATTAAAGTAAATAACAAAATATGTAATTCAACATTGTCCAAATGAGCAAGAGAGGAAATGAAGATTGACTCAGTGAGCAAAAACATTTTTTTGATGTGTAGTGATACACAAGTCTGTGAGGTGCGATTTATGCAGCTGAACAGTTTTACATACGGTATATGAAAATGCATTGTCTAATGTTTAACAAACGTAGTTCTCCAGACAATAGACATTACTGACATTTTACTGACATATACACAACTTCTATTTTCAATGAGGATGTAACTGCTGTAACAGACAACTATTGATTTTCAGAGTGACCATTTTACAAGGTCACTTTGGTTTTGAAACCACAATATCAGAGTGGTTAACACTCTTGCCTTACAAAAAGGAAGGTTCTCCAAGTACAAGTACTCCAACAAACATGCAGATTTGGAATTAGGTGAGTTGGACACTTGGTCTAAATCTCAAGGCCTGGAACCCACTTACAGGCCACATCTGGCCTGTGACTATAGATAGGTATTGTTTTATTATCCACACCAATTTCAGTTGATAAAAAAAAATGTAGGTGTTTCAGACAGTATCTTTAACCCCATTGTGTCATTTACCTATAGCACTTTACCAGGTTTATATTGCACAGCTGCTGAACAATGCCTGTCTCTCTACATTCAAAGCAGTAACAAAACAGACTAGCACTTTCGCCCACCTTGTTCTTTTTCTCTGTTATTAAAAAGTGAATTGACCGCATTTTTTAACCTGAAAGGAGGTCAGCCTTTTCACCAGAGGGATTTTAGGGACATGATTGGATTATTTTCTGTTTTTCCAGCACCAAAGTATTCACAGCTTTGATCTTAAGAGATTTCACATCTGGTATTAAACCCAAACAGTTGGTCACTTTTTCCTGACAATGCTGGGAGGAGTGTCGGTCCAGGCTGTGGTCTAGGAGAAGATTTGTTTTAGGAGATGATTTTTCTTTTTTTGTTTTTTTAAAGAAGAATAATTATGATTGACACAAACTGTATAATCATACATGTTATCCTTAATGTCCTTAATGTTTCTTACTAAGAAGACCTGTTCCTGATTTTAATCAAGCATTAAACAAAATAGAGACAGTGTTTAAGAATTAGGGATTCTAGAGATGTTTACTCCAAACTTCAGCGCTACCATGAATAGGTTGCTTAAATAGAAGCCTGTATTTCATTCCAGCTTTTATTCAGAGCCAGTTATAAGCTCGGCCAAGTCTTTGCCCACATCCTTACGCAGGAAACTTAAGTTGCGCTGACACCAAGCGTACGGAACGCATTGGAGCCGCTGTTGAGAAAGCCACATGTGTGAGCCGGTCCAGAGAAGCCAAGAAAGAGTGCAAGCTGTTGGCCAGCTGACGGGCTGAATTCAGACATCACTGTGATCCTAACCAATTTAACAGGGCTACATGTGGGATTCATGTGTGAGGGCATTAAAATTGCTGTTTCTACGCATCCGTTTTTGCTGCGCCCGTTTTCACCACAAGAATAAGGGAGGGTTCAATGGTTTTAGGGGGGAAAAAAAGATCAATACGAGACTGTGGTCTTTTGTCTGATGTCAGCCAGGGTCTGACAGAGAAAAAGTTTCTCGCCTCATTTGAAAGCAATATCCTGCCTTTTGTGTTTTTAAAAAGACTAAATGTTTTATTGGAAACCTGAAAAAAAAACTTTAACAGGTAATGAAAAAAAAACTTAATGAGGAAAATGAAGTAACTGGCAGATATGTCCACAAAATGAATTCTAATGTGATCCAGGGGGCTCCAAGCCCAAGTACACTTCTAGCCACAGTTGGAAAACACATACACTTACCAGTCTGTTGCACTCCTGTTTTTTTTTTTTTATGGCTTTATCTCAAAGTTTTCAGTGACATGTTGTTCTTTTGTTTAAGGCGTCTGTGTTATGATTGGCTGGGTTTACTCCATGCTCCATATTGCAGGAAGTTCACCGTCTCTGCCAATGCTGTCTGCTTCACACCTCCCTCACTTCTTACAGAAACTGCATTGCTCCACAAATCACTCATCTGCTGAATGAGTTTCCTTCTGCTGTAGTCTAGTACACTCTGCTCCCTGAAACGCCACAGTTTAATTGGCCCCTCCCTCCACCTCCACCTCCAGCCCCCCGCCCCCTTCGCTGACAAGCCATTGTGTCTTCAGAGGCTTGTAAAGTAGTCAATCTCCTGAGTGGAGGTCAGAAGGGCGACCTATGTGGGTATGCGAGTTAGGAAGTATGATATTAATTACTAGTATTATGCCCAGTTTTATGCAGAGAAATAGGACCTGTTTAAAAAAATAACACATTTTCTGGCAGTAAATGCTGAACCATTTTTTAAATGTATACGCTTTATGTGCTTCACTCCGGTCCCCCTCCTGATCCAGGCCCACCTTCTATGCTCGGCTTTTGAACTCTGTCAGGAAGTTAATTGGCAAACCGCTGAGTGTTGGGTTCCAGACTGCAGTCCAGGTGGCTGATGGGATTGCCAGATCTGGAGCCTCAGATTGATGACAGCAGGGTCCTTAGATGAGCACAGCCTCACTTTATGCTTCATGTCTCCCTCATTTTTCAACGGCCCTGGATCTCAGACCTGGTCTCTGGTAATGCAATGAGAGATGAGGTCAAGGACAGCAGAGGTTTTATAGGACGTAAAACAACAGGTCATGGAAAAGAGATAAGAGCAAGTCATGATGATGTTGAAACATCAAGTAAAACATTTGACCGTGGTCACTATGTTCAGAAGGGATGACGTGTTAGCATATTTGTGTGTCTACAAAGAGGGAAAGACGACTACTTTAATACATTGTATTTTTTCAGACAATATTTGTCCTAGAAACCCATAGGATTGTTGGCTTTCTCTGACATTGTTTTATAGTAAATTGAAGCAGCCAATAAAAACAGCAAACACCACATCCAAATACTGCAGAAAACTCTTTACCAGACAGCATTAGCATCATCTTAGAGAAGATGGAACTTCTGGAGCTATACTACATTTTAGACTTTAGCCTGGTTAAGTAAAGACAAACATCTCTTAGTTGAGGCCCTGCCAGCACCTGTTGATATGTAGATCAGGATTAAGTCATCACACCTTTTCACATAAGCATGACTTTGTCCCACAGGAGCACAACAAATGGAATCTTTGCTGAAAGAGTCTCGATGGATTTGCTCTTAAACTACTGAAACCAAAGCTCTCTCTTTATCTCTGGGAAAAGCAGAAGCTTTTTGATGTTGCTCCTTTTTTTCCTTTGCACATGCTGCAGACAGTGAGACGGTCGTCTGATCTCTTATTGTACCTGG